CGCCGCCTAAGGCCACTCCTGGGTTCGAACCAGTTAATCACGAGAAGGTGAGCAAGAATCCTCCCTGTCCCTCTCTCTCTCTCTCTCTCTCTCTCTCTCTCTCTTATATATACATAGACGCACTTATGCTTGTGTGCATTTATAAATGTGCATGTACTTGTGCCTTGATGTTTATATTTGGATTGCTGTATAGCCGCAAATTTTCTAGGGTTCTAAAACTTTTACCTATATTTTTTCTTTGTCGTTCTCTGGGGTTTATGTTAGGTGCTCCTAGTTTAGTTTAGAATTACTTGCATATTTTCTTTCTCATGTGCTTGCTTAAATTTACTTGCATATTTATTTGTTTTCTCTTTAATCCGGATGATAGCTTTAGATTATAAAACTGAGCTGCTATGTAGTTCACAAAGTATACCTTGCGATTCATAGCTATCTGCCCTTATCATCAAGATGGTGGCTTGAATAATTCCAAGCCTGTATCATTCTTCTTTCTTAGACTGTTTACTGGGTACCTCATTAATAAGGTATATTTATAATGTTAATATACTAAACTACTACTTTTATGTGGATTTTTTTTTTTTTTTGACTTCATAATATTTTTGTAATAAATTTGTAAGTTTGTATACACTTTTAATGCAGTTTGTCTACACTTTTAAAGCTTCCTCTAACTAATAAATGTCAAAGGAACATTCTGCTGCTTCCTTAATTGGTATCATTTTCACCTATATTTCCTGAAATGGCCACTTCTTACTATCAAAATTTCTACTCAATGTTGGGCCCCAAAAAAACAAAAATTAAGGTCTCCTCTCTTTAAACCAGCTTGATGGTATAGAACCTAAGGGGTTTCCAAATTATTTAAGCATAAAATTTGAGATTATACACTTAATAAGATCTTAGTTTTTGAAATGCTTTCTCATCTCTATTTAGATCTTTTATGTTTTAAATTGCAGATACCATTCCCCCAACAGAATACATTACAGCAGCGACTTCTTTTACAAATACTATTAATGTTTCTGTAAATATTTCATTTAGTGAACCATGTAATGGTGGAGGTGGTTTTGGGTGTTCGTCTGCAAATTCCTGCAATGTGAGTATGTGTTCACTCTAAAATTAGTAATCATAATTCTGCATTTCTTTTGGTGCTCATTTGCTTAATTTCTTTGACTTTATAATAAATTTTTATTAGTGAGAGGTTGAATTTTTCCTGTTTTGGAGGAGGGAGGAGGTAAACTATTTAGTTTGTTTAGGATTGTTATTTTGTTTCAGAAAGGCAGAAAAGTAAGGAGCTCACTGCTGATATTTCCTTCCCAGCTAATTTCTATTTTGTCCTTTCCTACTAGCTTGCAGTTGACTAGGTACGACTTGATCGTGCTAAACAATTGACAAAGTCATCCATTCTTATGAACCTTGAATCCAGAGTAAGCAACTTCTTTGCTATGTGATATGAACCTGCTATTTTTCTGCTTCGTTATTTTTTTCCCTGTATGAGGCATCTTTCAACTACCTAATGGGCTTACAATGGATGCGATCATGCAGGCATTGCGTCAATTGTTTACTCAAATGCTTGCAGAGGGTTCTCGATAGGAAATCACTTCTATTGCTTAGATCTTTGTGGACCATCGGTGATAATATTTTTGTAAGGTATTTTTTCGTTAATTTTTGCTTTCTTTCCATTGATAAATATTGTTAATTTTTTTATATATTTTCTTTCCAAATATTGCAGGCTTTGATTTAGCAAGTTCAGAACTAAATATAAAAAGTGCGTTAGTTTTTAAATTTATCTCTATATGAGATAGGGAAGTTAAATAGGAACAAAAAATATTAATATTGTTTACTTTGGGTGGAGGATCTTGTAAATTTTGACAAATCTTCGGTGAGTTAAGTTAGGAAGTTGTGTATAAATAGCTTGCAAAAGTTGGACAAGCAAATTGTATAGATATTTTACTATTGTAAATATGTCATTTTTTATATATAAAATTCTTTGTTTAGCATTGTACATTTGGCAATGCCTCTTTGTTGAGCACATCAATTTTCTCTCTTTTTTTTTTTTCTTGCATGGTAAGATAGATAACACAACAAAAAAATAGTAGTTTTAAAAAAAAAAAAATGGTTTAGAAAATAGCAAAAAATTAAAATTCAAAAAATAACAATTTGGAACCAGAGTTAAAAAAAATTATAATTTATCTCAAAATAGTAAAAAATCACTATAATTTACAATTAAAATTGTCATGATTTATACAAAAAATTGTTGTAATTTAAAGAATTTTTTTTATTTACAAAAACCTTCGTAATTTACACTCAAAAATGCCCTAGTTTACAAAGAAAAAATAATTGTAAAAAAGGCGGTTAAAAATTGCCGTAATTTACAACCACCGTAAATGTAATTTAACTGTCGTAAATTACGACGTTTAAATTGTCGTAAATTAACCGTCGTAAATTACACGTCATAAATTATGGCGGTTGAACCACCGCAATTTACACTTCGTAAATTACGGCGTTTGAATTGCCGTAAATTACGACAGTTGAATCGCCGTAATCTAAGTGTTAATTACGACGGTTCAACCGCCATTATTTACATGCTAAATATGGCGACTTGCATGGGGTTGCCTTTCAACCGCCGTTTTATATCTAATGACAGACGGAATTTTTGCAGTTCTGCTAACTGTCACATATGTATAAAACGGCGGTTGTAAACTGTCGTCTTTTTTCAATTTTAACTGTTGTTTTTTTCAATTTTTTTTTGTAGTGAATTGACTCTTTTATGTTATTATGAAAAGGTGTAATTAAAGTTCAAAGAAAATCCTAACATCAAACTTGTCCTAAATTTATTAAAATTGTAAATATAAGGACAAAAATGAAATTAAAACAAAAATATGAAACCCAGAAGATTAATTTATCCTTAATTAATTCTCCACGTCGCTAATCATTTCAAAATCCTAAAGGGAAGACAGTGCACATGACATAAGCAAAATTCCAAAATGGAGGTACCTTATTGGAAAGGTAATCTCAGATGAAACCAAAGCCTCATGTTTCGGAATGAAATGGGTTCTCACTTGTCAACTGTCTAATGAGTCCAAAAACCCACATTAATGCTACAAGCTCACTTATTGATCCTAATGGAATTGAGTTGTCAAGGGCTTACGCGTCATCGTTACTTGATCATATGAGTTCTAGTAATTGATGTTGTAGCTACCATAAGCACGACCCTTGGTGTAAATTGTAAGTACCACCGTCATTGGCAAGTGTTCTCAGCTACTATTCTCATTAAGTTTTTTAGAATTTTTGACAGACTTTCAGAAAGTCTGTTGAAAATTTTATTTTTAAATATTTTGACAGACAACGTCTGTTGAAAATTTTTTACCTTTCTAAAAAATTTTTTTTTTCTTTTTTGACAAAAACTGTCTGTCAGAAATATTATTTTAATTTTTTTAAAATTTTTAACAAACAATATCTGTTGAAAACTATTTTGCATATTATTCCTGCCATTTTTTGATAGAATTATCTACTGAGATATGATACACGAAAATTCTGCTTTCCAACATAAATTTATCTGTTGAAAAATGTCTATTAAAATTTGTCCTTTTTCTTGTAGTGTTCGTCAAATATCTGTGCATGAATGATTCAAATAGCTTATAGTTGTTTAATCAAAAGACGATCTGGTTTAACTGGTTCATCTCAGTTTAATAATGTTTTCACTCCGAATATATAGAACCAAATAGACGAGTTTATATTTGAACCAATTCAACTACTCCATGGACTAATTTTGATTACGACGCATACGAGTTAAATGAGAGCTATATGGATAACAAGACATCCGAAGAAAATTTAAAATATCTAAAATTTTTTAAAAAATATTGTCATTATAACCGTTTTATCAAAAAAAGAATTTTTTTTTTTTTAAGAATCCACTTGTTTTAAAATAATAAGAAGCTCAAAATTGCCCTAAATTCACCAACTAGCTATGCTATCCTCACTTTAAAAAATATAAAATATAAAATAATTTTCAAAACTAATGAGAATAGTTATTTGATATTTTAAACATTATAAGTTAATTTCATCATTATGCATAATCAAATAATAAAATTAATGTGTCTAAAATTACTGTACTCAAATTTATCTTATTTAAATCCACAGTTTTTAAACTCACATTTTTTGAAAAAAAAAAATACAAGTTTTGCTAAATCCCCACCATAAAAACTTGGAGCCTCTTGCCTAGCCCCCTAAAAGAAATTTGCCTTGAGTGAGAGGGAGAGGGAGGTGAGTTACGCCATCAAATAGAAGTCTGGCATCATCATCATCATAAACGTTTTTGTATTGAATTGTATGACTTTAAGGTTTACAACTTTTTTCTGTTTTGGAATTACTTTTGTTAGGTCCTCTGGAGAATTTTTTTTTTTTTTTTTTTTTTTTTTTTGTTTACGGGCCCTCTTCTGTAATTTCTCTCTTAAATTTTTTAAATACCGATTATAGTTTTAAATGAACTTGAATTTCATAACATGAAAACCTTGCTACTCTTGTGACATTGATGCAGTAAGGTTATTTATTGTATCTTCAGATACCAATGTTTCAATAATTGTAAAACTATTCCAAAGTAATTTCAGATAGTTAAATGCGACTATCACACACCCCTCCCCAAACACCCCCCCCCCCAAAAAAAAAAAAAAAAAGAAAAAAAGGAGAGAGGGAGAGAGAGAGAAAGGGCTGTTGAAATATCTTGAAATCCAGTTATACCCGTTGGGCACATCAAACTGAATTAACGATAATTATGATATGTTTGGAAGCTAAACGTTTACAAGAATGAAAAGGAGAGGAAAAATTTTCTTTTCTTTTTTCAATTTTTGGTTCTTTGATTCAGGAAAGGAGTTAAAAGCGTAGAAAAGGAGGTAAATCAAATAGCTATTATACAAACACATGAATATCAATTTCAAAACCACATACTACTGAATTTTATTACCTTGACGCAGGATGATGATATCAACGTTCCACTTCACAGAAAAGAACAGTTAAAAGATTTTTGCAATGAGTGCGCGAGTAATGGAAAGCTTTGACCTGAGAGAATTCAACTCGATCTCCAACTCAAAATTCCTAATATCCTTGTTTTCCAACTCCATCTTCAACCTCTCCACCTGTTCATCTTCCGCCTCTTCCCCAGTGTAGAGGGCAATCATACGTGCAACTTCCCGACTCTGAACATCCAAGCTCTTCTTCAGAGCCATCAGTCCCTCCAACATCAGCGATTTTTCTATGCCGCCATTCTGCCCTGACGACTCGACCTCTCTCTGCCCATTTTCTGCGGCTTTCTCTGGCAAACTTGGGTTCGAACGCCCCATATGGTCTGGAACAATGGTCTTTCCACCGGAATGGTTTGAAACCGGCTCTGTGGTGGTTTCGAAAACAGGGTCTAGCTTGCAAACATCTTTGTTGAAGGTCCATCCACTGACACTTCTTCGTTTAGGAGTACTGTTCCTGGCCGGAAATTCTGTGCCTCTGCTTATCTCTTCCTTGGCGCTCTTGCTGGCTGATCCGAATTTCTGAAGCCATACTTCTGATCTGTGCCTTTGCTCTGTGCGAATTTTGCATTAAAAAATCAATAGTTTAGTTACTTTCATGCCGGACAAGCATGGCAAATATTTAGAAACTTGAGACATTTTTAGTGGAAGAGATATTTTAAAATAAAAACCTTAAAATATAATAACAATTTTAGTATTGAATTTTTAATGCTTCAATTATTTTAAGCCTCAAATCCCAAAACAGTATTCAAATAATATTCTAGGCATCTAAAGTCAAGCTTAAAGATGGCATAATTATGGTGAATATTCAATACCACGTAATATATTTTTGACCACAATTTCCAATCCCTTGCATTTTCTGAAGAACGGATGGCTCAGAAGTTCATGGGCAGATGGCCTCTTCGACGGGTCCTGGTTGAGGCACAAGCCCACCATGTCCTTGAACAACTTGGAGAACTCCTTATCTTTGCTTTTCCTCGTCTTCTTGTAGTAATTCGAAACCCTAAATCGCTTCATGGTCTTCATCAACAGAGACTTGGGAGATGGTAGATGTGAAAGGGGAGGCCCCCCATAAGCCAATTCTAGGGCTACGATGCCGAAAGACCATATGTCCGCCTTTGGTGTCCATGAGTATGTTTTCCTCCGGCGATTGGACCACCTCCGGCGCTATCCAGTAGGGCTTCCACGCCATGTCAGTTAGCATTGCTGCGACTGCGCCTGCTGTTGCCTCATACACAGAGGTCGAGACAGGAAAATCTGCCAGCCTCACCGTGCCATTGGAGTCTATGAGTATGTTTGCTGCCTTGATGTCCCTGCAGATTGGGTCGCAACTAGAAGTAAATTTTAACTGAATAAAGTTGATTCGTTTCAAATTTTCTCTAAGATAAATTTAAGAATAGGGCTACTCTCCCATTACTACCCTTTTACCTGTGAAGTTGACCCTGCATATGTAAATACGCCAAGCCGCACAACGTCCCTGGAGAGTCACAGAAATGCAGGGCTCCGTTAATCCGTCGCGGAAATACGATGCCACGATGGACTGGAGCGAGCCTACGCACATGAACGGCATGACGACCCAGAGGCTGTCGTCCACCATGAAGGAGCAGTGGGCCCCCAAAACATTGGGTGAGAAAGCCGGGACATGGTCTCGGCCTCGCGAGGAACTCCTTGCAGGTCGGACGGCCAACGATTCAAATAGATGCACTTGATCGCCACCAACGACTTCTCCGGCGAGTCCATCTTCCTGCAGTGGGCCTTGTGAACGACGGAGTTCACTCCGCGCCCGATCTCCTCCAGGAGCACGTAGCTGTCTGGGTCCTCCGGGTATTGGACAGGCTGGGGCTCTTCTTGTTGATCCATGAGAAAAGATCGATGTTGGGTTGGTTCAAAGACACAGTTTAAGAGACTTTCTTTGTGTTGGGTTATGCCGAAAGGGATTGAGTCTTGAGAATTTCTGGGTTTCTTCAAGAAGATGGAAGAAGTCAGAGAGAAAGGGGAGTTTTGGTGGCCTTTTTTCTTCTTTTTTGAGAATTGAAAGAGAGAGAGACTCTACAATGGCAGTGATCTATATATAGAGTTGAAGAACTGAGTTCATGCACGTGAATTTAACTGCCAAGACAGAGAGATGAGCCAGGTTTTTGTTTGATCAATAGCTGGGATTTTATAAAGCTAATTCTGTTAGGAAATACAACCTCGGGAGCGGGCGGGAAGGATAAAATGTAACAAGAATTAGTTTTGCGGTTGGGCTGGAGCAAATCAAGTACCAGGGATTAGATTTTGACACGAAGAAACTGACTGGGAACTGAATGAAATCTTATTTATGTTTAGATGGCATTAGATACCAAAACCAGTGTAAGTTTAAAAATAATTTCTTTATAGAAAATATAATTTTATAAAGTTAATATGAAGTTCATATTTTTTATATACGTATGGTAAAATCAGTGAGTTTACTTGGAATTTTTCTTTTTTGTAAAATCAAGTCCTTTTACAATATCGTCAAAATTTCTAAATTAAAGAAAAGAACCATATTTTTGTTGATTTATCTTGTTGAAGCCATTAAAATAAAATAGGCTAGATTTTAAGAAAAGTGAAATTATTTTTAGTTGTTTATATTTAAAATTAACTTACCGTGCTAGCTTAAATAGTTCAATATCGCAGGGGTATTTTTAATTCTTTTAACTTAAAAATCGTCATGTAAATTTGAAGAATAGCAATTAAATGGTGGCAAGAGGTTGATTAGGGTAAGACTAAATAAATTTAGCAGGTACAAAATACAAAATATATTATAAGTTATTTGTATTATACGTTTTGTAATTTACTAATTTGCGCACACATCAAAATGCACGTGCAATGTAATCTATTTCTTTTAAAAAATAAAATAAAATAGCTATAGCATTAAGAAATGAGCTTCTACTTTCTATTTTAAAGGCCTGTTTGAATTTATTTCATCCTTTTTTCTGTCCTGTTTTTCCATGTTTCTTGTCAGAAGCAGATTGTCGATGTTTTTGTTCTTTTGCAAACCCCTTACACTTAAAAGGTTGGCCTCATTTAGGAATGGCAATAGGAAGGTGTGTGTGTGTGTGTGTGTGTGTGTGTGTGTGTGTGTGGGTTGGGGGGGGGGGGGGGGAGGAGGAGGTAGGTACGTTCAACAAACCAAACCAAACTGATTAGATCGCATGGTATAAACTGAACCAAACCGTATAGTTTATAAATATGTAAAACTAAAAATCCTATCTTTATATGTATAATATATTTTTATTGTTTGACTCTATATTTTTTCTTTTTATTATCTTTTATATTTATATTCATTCTAATAATTGATTATTTTTTTTAGAGTGTAATTTCTATTAGTAATAGTAAAATTCTGTAAAATAGTATAAATATATTTATTATAAAATGTATAACTATAATAGTTAATTAATAAATAATGAATTTATTAAAGTAAATATGTTGGGAAAAAATGGATGACCAATTTTTAGGAAAACTCTATTAAAGTTTTTATAAAAAAAAGTGAATTTAATTTATTTTATTTTGTAAATCACAAACTGTGATTTAAAACCAAATTAAATCATAAACTGTGATTTGGTTTGGTTTATAAAAATTATAAACTGTAAAATATAATTTGATTTAAATTTGAATATCAAATCAAACCAAACCGAGCTATGAACACCTGGGGGAGTTTTATAATGCTGAAATTTAGATTTGCATTAGAAAAGAAAATTCAAATTCAGATTCAAATTCGTGTGAATTTATACTTTAATTCTTATATCTAGATTCATCAAATATTTATTTATTTGACATGGTCTTATAATTTCTTAAACATAATTTTTATAATTTAAAATATGTAAATAGCTAAAATAAGTAGAAAAATTTAAGTAAATAGTAAACTTATATGTTAACCAAATTATAAATTAAAAATTATTTGTTTTATATATAATATATAATTATATATAAAATATTTTTTTAAATATAGTGATATAGTAATATATGGATTTGAAATAAGGTAAGTTTTGAACGCAAATCTAGAACTATTTAATGACATCAAGATTGATAATTTTTTTAAGTATTCATTGAATCTGATGCAATTATCCTTCCCACTTATCCAACTCTAGGATTTCACGGGCCTAATTCATCACATGAGATGATTTAAATATAATTTAATAAATATAAATTTTATAAAATTTTGAATTAAATTTAAATACAAGAATAATTAATTAAATTTGAATTCAAATTTATTTAATTTGATCTAAATCTAACTGATGAAACAGTGGTACCTATTCACTCATTTTAATTTTTTTCATTCTATTTAATTTTATAAACTAATTTGTTTAATTCGTGATTAGAATTATAGACTTAAAAAATAACTCTGGATTAATGCTCTCTGCTCCAAGTGATTATACCCGTTGTGTACGTGAAACCTTAATTGTGATTTGAATTGGGGAAAAGCTACTTCCTATATGATTTGCTAATTTTTCTTGTAATCACTTAAAGCTTTAATTTCCGATTACTTTATTCTAAAACGTGGCTTCGTGTTGAAGTCTATTTTTCATTTATTGCAAATGCATAATTAAAAAAAATTAATGTGGATAAAAAAATTAAATATCTAAAAATAAAAAAAAAAAATATTAAAGAAGGATTTAACCTCTATCATTCCTGCACTAGAAAAAATGATCATTATAAGTTTATAGCCGTTTTATATGTAAAAAATAGGGAATTGTTTGCTTGTGAATCAATTTGTTTTAAGAGAACACATTTTTTTTAACTAATAAGAAGAGTATTAGAATATTTAAAAATTTATACCTAAATTTAATTATAATGTATAATCAAATAATAAATTAATTTTATGTAAAATTACTTTACTCAATATTATTTTATTTAAATCCATGTTTTTAAACTCACATTTTTTAAAAAAAATTTATAAGTCCCTTTCCATTCAAAATAATTTAAATAATCTTATTGGACGGCGATGCAAAATAATTTCATTTTCCTTGTTTCTAATTTATACTAATTCCAAGTCGCAACCTCAATCTATCAATCAATTCTCTAATTTCATTTACCTTTACCTCAATTTTCAAGCGTTTTAAAGGGCATCTGCAATAAGACTATTTGCAATGCGAAGCTGCGACCTGAGGAGGTCCAACTCCAAATCCAAATGAAAATTCTTAATCTGCGTGTTCTCCAACTCCATCTTCAACCTCTCCACCTGTTTATCTTCCACCTCTTCTACCTGAGGAACTCCATCCTGCCTTGATGGCCCCACCTCTCTCTGCCCACCTTCTGTGGCTTTTCCCGGCGAACTTGGCTTCAAACTCACCCTATTGTCTGGGATGATGGTCTTTCCGCCGAAACGGACTTGCTCGAAAACCGGGTCCAGCTCGAAATGGTCTTTGTTGAAGTTCCATCCACTGATCCTTCTACCTGGAAATTCTTCGTCTTCATTACCTGCCTCTTCCTTGGAGCTCTGAAGCCGTGCTTCTAATCTGTGCCTTTGATCTACACTAGGTACGCCTAGCTTGCATTAAAAAATCAATAATTAAATTACTTCTCGGTTGGATATATGCATGACAAAAATTCAAAACTTAAAAGAAATTTATAGTGGAATTGATATTTTAAAATAAAAGTCTTAAATCATAATAAAAATTTACCATTGAAATTTTAATCCTTGCATGTTTTTAAACCAAAAATTCATGTGCCAAACACCATTTAAATAATATTGTGGGCATGCAAATTTAAGCTTAAAGATTACATAATTATGGTGGATTTTCAATACCTTCTAAAATATTCTTTACCAGAAATTCCGGTCCATTGCAGTTTCTGAAGAAGGGATGCTTCAAAAGTTGATCGGCGGACGGCCTCTTCGACGGGTCCTGGTCGAGGCACCAGCCCACCATGTTCTTGAACGACTCGGAGAACTCTTTGCTGTTCCACCTCTTCTGGCGGTGATCCCAAAACCTAAATTGCTTCGTCATCTTCATCATCAGTGACTTGGAAGGTGGTAGATGTGAGAGGGGAGGCCTCCCATGCGCCAATTCTAGGGCTGTGATGCCGAAAGACCATATGTCCGCCTTGAATGTGTATCCCGCGCGCGAGTGGACCACCTCCGGTGCCATCCAGTAGGGTGTCCCCGCCACCTCGGCTACCATTGCCACCGCTGTGCCTACTGTCGCCTCGTACAGAGAGGCGGAGACGCCAAAATCTGCCAGCTTCACCGTGCCATTGGAGTCTATGAGTATGTTTCCTGCCTTGATGTCCCTGTAGATTAAGTCGCAACTAGGAAATAACTTTTAACTGAATAAAGTTGATTCGTTTCAACTTTTCTCTACAATTAAAATTTAGAACAAGGCTACTCTATCATTTCTACCCTTTTACCTGTGAAGCTGACCCTGCATATGTAAATACGCCAAGCCCCTCAACGTCTCTTGGAGAATCACGGCGATGCAGGGCTCGGAGAATCCGTCGGGGAGTGACGATGACATGATGGACCCGAGCGAGCCTTCGCACATGAACGGCATGACCACCCAGAGGCTATGGCCCGACGTGAAGGAGCAGTAGGCCCCCAGAGCGTTGGGGTGAGAAAGCCGGGACATGGTCTGGGCCTCGCAGGGGACTCCGTGCAGGTCGGTCCGCGAACGGTTCAAATCGATGCACTTGAGCGCCACAAACTCAGTCTCCACCGAATCCATTTCCACGTAGAGGGCCTTGTAAACGACTGAGTTCACACCGCGCCCGATCTCCGCCAGGAGAAAGTGGTTGCGGGTGTCCGCCGGGTATTGGACTAGCTGGGGCTCTTCTTGGTGATCCATGAGAAAAGATCGATCTTGGGTTGGTTAGAGACGAGTTTTAGAGATTCTCTTACGTTCTAGGGTTGGTTATGTGGAAAGAGATTGACTCTTGAGAGTTTCGCAGGTTTTATTCAAGAAAATGGAAGAAGAGAGACAAGGACGTGGGAGGTTGGCGGGTTTCTTGAATATTGAGAGAGGGAGAGAGAATCTACATCGACGGTAATGCATACGTGGAGTTGAAGAATTGAGTTCATGCACGTGAATTTAACGGCCAAGAGAAAGATGTGGGGCAGGTTTTGTTTGATCAACGGCTGGGATTTTAGAAAGCTAATAGTGTTTGGAAACACGACCTTGAGAGCGGGCGGAAAGGGTAAAATATACCAAGAATTAGTATTGCAGTTGCAGGTTTTGACATGGAAGAAACTAACGGGGTGATGGACTTACCAAGGACTGAATGAAAACTTATTTACGATTAGAGGCTAATTCATTGAATTTCATTATAAATAGTTTAAAGAGTGATGATGTTAATGGGACGCGCCTATCAGTTTTTCCACAGTGAGACTGATTCTTTCAGTAAAACTTCTAAGCTTATTATATGGTTAAGCGAAACTTAGTTACTTTTTTTTAATTTAAATCACATTTAGTTATTCATATTTTAATATTTAAAATAATTTTTTTAAAATTAAAATAATATAATTAAATTATCAAAAATCAGATTTAAAAAAAATAAATATATCAAATAATATTTTAATTTTATTTGGTAGGTAACTAAAATATACGAAATTGAGTTATTTTTAACTCTTTTTTAACAAAAAAGTATTATATAACTATTAATTAATAGTTAGTCAAATGAGAAAAATATTTCTTTCATAATAATAATAGGGTTAAGTGTTATTCAAATAAATTTAAAAAAAGTGTAGTATTTTTTATCTAAAATTAAATTTTGAAAACAAATTACTCTTAATTTCCATATCAAGAGTTCACCTTTTTAATCTTTTTGGTTTCAACTTTCAATATATCAAAGGCAAAAAAATTTAAAATCATTAAATTTAATTAGAGTTCAGTTCGTAGGTTTTATAAATTATTTGAAAATTTGTGAAGTCAGATTTCTGATAAAAACAAATTTGACAATGTTTCAACAAAATTTTAGAGTACTGGGTATCCTGTATTAATCATAGAAGGAATAGATCATTAGTACGTAAGTGTGAAGAAAAATTTCATGTTATGAGTTTCTTTTTTTTAATTAAAAAAAGCTCAAAAGAAGCTAACATTCTTATTAAAACATAGATTATAACATCACTCTTATGGTATCCAAATTTGGCAGCTAGCCTTGTGTGTGAAAGAAGAGAATGGTAGATATCCTAACTAGTAATACAAATGGGAGGGAAAGTTTCATCTCATGAACTATCTCTTGAATGGAAAAAGTTTAACAAAGAATGTTCTAATTTTTTTAGATTAACAAAATATAATTAATTTTTTTGTCATTTATATTTGGTAGAAAATAGTGAGTTTACTTGGATTTTATTCTAAAATCAAGTTTTTTACAGTGTCTTAAAAATTTCTAGATTAATAAAAAAAAAACTGAATCATATTCTCTAGTGTGTAAGGTGCACTTTTGACAATAGAATTATATATTTTTTTTGATTAATTTGGTGTAGAGGACTGACAAGCAAAGAATGTTTGTGGAGATTGTTAATCTCTTTTGTTCCTTCAAACCATTTTAACTTATTCAAAAGTTTTCTTCAATATTTCACATGTCAATATATCATTTTTACATATATTTATAATTTACTAATTGACACACATATTAAAATGCAGGTACTGCAATGTAATCTATTTCTTTTTAAAGATTAAAATAAAAATAGCTGTACCATGAAGGAATGAGTTTCTGCTTTTTATTTTAAAGGCCTGTTTGGATTTATTTAATCTTTTTTTAAGTTTTTTTCTATTTTTCTTGTCAGTTGTAGAGTAATTAAAATTTTGAAAATTACAACCCCAGAAATTTGAATGTGGGCCTCATTTGCAAGGACCAGTTGATTAACGAGCTCATCGCGGCCGCCCATCCCATCAGTCAGATGTTGACTGTCTAACAACTGGTATGGGCTGTCGAACGGGATTCCACGAGGTCCAATTCGTCCTAGGACCTGCTCCATGAGAAAACGCCTGCTGGCTTGTTTTCTTTTCTTAGGCTTAGCCCTCTTTTTGTTATCGGAATAAATAAATAACTGGAGTAAATAAAATTGATGGAGTTTGTCACTGGGGCTTTTTTTAATTATGCTCAATCTTTTTAATTTTATAACTCAGTTTGTCTAATTTATGATTAGAATTATAGACTTAAAACAAAAAAACCTCTAGATTAATGCTCTTCACTCGTGCTCATAAGCCCAGTTTCCTGTTGATTTGTAATACCGGGCTTTTAAATTGAGGGTTTAATTGAAGGAAACCAACTCCACAGGGACCAAATTAGGAGGAACAAAAATTCTGAGGGCTAAAAGTTAAATATTTAGAACTTAGGAAACTAAAGTTGAATGAGCAATAATCTTCACGACTATTAACCTACATACATAACAATCTTCTTCTCCTTCTGCCATGCGTAGTGTAGCACAAGGACAACTACTAATTTAGGTCCCACATTCACATAATCGGTAGCGAATCAAGTTGAAGACCAAAGCTGACCGAGTAGCCCCCATTTCTACCACACAAGGAAGCTCCATTTGGTGGTTTTTTGCAAGATAATCTCCCCTTTTTTCTAGGCTTTGAGTAACTAGAAACCCCCTTCTTGGTTCATCTTAGCCACGCTGAATAGAGTTCAGTACAAAAAAAAATTGATAAAAACGGCAGTATAAATTACAGTAATTAACCTAACCACTATAATTTTTATGCATTTGGGCGGTTCATACGGCAGTTTTGCTTACTGTTGTTTTTCCATACGTAGGATATGACAGTTTAGAATAAAATGACAGTTCAACTATTGTTTTTAAACAAAATTTTATAAAAAAAAAAAATTATCATAAATCTATAGTATAAAAGCCATCTGTTTTTTGGGAGAAAAAACAAAAAGCCATAATTCATCAAAGCCAAACCCTAGCCCAATACTTGACCTTCTTCCTCGCACCTAAATGCCCCCTTCAGCCGATCGGCCCTTCAGTCGCGACCATCTCCTTCTCGAAGCACGACAACCAAGGTGAGCCTTTACTGTCCCTTCCTTTCTTTGTTTTCCTTTTTATGTTGCGTGAATCACCCAATTTGGGACCAACTAGCTTATATGATGTAAGAGATAGCCTTTTGAAATTATAATGTTGATTTCTTGTTTTAGCCTGCTATTGTTTGTGGGTTTTGCAAAATCTATGATTGGTGCTTGCTAATGGACTTACAAGTTCTATTGCTTGGTTGTAGAGTAGATCAATTAATATTAGACATATATTGTGAGAGGGGGAACAGCTTGTTGTTGAAATCATCCTTTCATATGATGATCAAGGATTTCTTCTGTTTTCTTTTCTTTTTTGTTTTTTTTCTATTCTTTGCGATGCTAAAGTTGCCCTCATTATTTTCTTTTTTTTTTTTGAAAATAGTAAACACTGAAATCTTTAAGCAAAATAGCTTTTGAGAATTCTGGAAACAGTTTTCTATTACATTTGAAAAATGTGAGTCTAATGTTTGAAATTTTTCTTACTTGTAGACTTGTAAGTATTTCTTCACTCTTGTCATTGTTTCTTTTAACGGCAGTATCTCTCTCTCTTTCTTTACACACACACACGCGCATATTTCTTTCTTCAAAGCTCCATCACTACAGCTTATTTTTTGTATCAAAAATGTTTTAAGTCATTGGAAAAGGTGTAAATTATAGACTACCTCCCCCAACAATATTAATTCAGGAATAGCTCCAATTCATCACTTTTTGTTAGGATTCAAAAGGACTAGGACTGTGAAGTGGTGCCATTCAGTTCTGTTGTGATATTGCAAAGAACAGCACATTTATCCTTTGGTTCTTGTGGAACCAAGTCCTTTTCTGGTTCAACATGTTTCATTCAAATTTCGTAAAGTTGGGATAATAGTGGGGTATTAAGGGACATTTGGACCAGTGTTATTCCTTTTCTTATCAGGGTTAGTTTGAAATATTTTTTTTCCCTTGAAAAGGAGGTTGTGGGCTTTTATTGGCTTTCAAGAATCATTTCCCAAAAGTTGGTTACTGTTCGGAGTTGACAACATGGGTAGTTCTTTGTCTTTGATCTACTTTTTTTAGTGGTTACGTTTTCTGTTTTAATAGAAAACTCCAAGAATCTAAGGTTCATTTGTAAGTTACTTGTGATGGTCTCAAGGTTGTTTTGAATAGGTGATTTGAAGAGAAAATAACATAAACCAGGTATTAACCATAATTCCTATTTTGCATATCTGCTTCAGACTCCTATTTAATAGATTTCTTGCATAAAGATGTTACTTTAGGTTCTTAGCTTCACAATGCATTCTTTTTATCCTTTACTGAAAAAAAGCATGTCATATAATGCATTTCTTTAGATATGACAATTACATAAATCCTTGAGCAAAGGATTGATGTCGGCTAGTAGTACTAGGGAAAAGCTTTTAGTTATGACTTGTACTACTACTGAGGAGAAGCTTTTGGTTGGAATGTTTGTTGGTGCTCTGCAAAACCCTATTCCTGTTCTGTAGAATGTTCTAGCTACACTGATTAGCCTGTACCCACAAATCTTCTATCTTCTTAGCAAACACTCCTCTATTTTTAATCTCCTTTATTACAATCTTCACAACTTCTTCCTCGATAGCTTGATTAGCATTTTGCGGGAGTGATTTAATCTCATTCTCTAGCCTGTCAGTATTTTGATGTTGTTCAAGTCCTGGATAGTCCATAGGTACCTTCACGAACTTGTTGTCTCAAAAGGCAACCCAAGAGGGGG